GCGTTTGACATAAAATAATAAAATACAAACGAATCTTCTTCGTCAAGACTTTACCTAAGAGTAAAAATGTATGCAGGTGGTTATGCGGTGAGCGGTGGAAGTCCACAAACCAACTCTAATGGATTCTATGGTGCCAGTGGCGTCGCAGGTGGTCCGCGTCCTGACCGCCCCCATTACCAACGAAATGCTATTAACAATGGCAACAATGCCGGTATGCCATATGGTGGTGGATCTGCATTGTATGGTGGCGCCCAAAGCTCTTATCGTGGGGGCAGCAGCTCTAATTCGATGGTGACAAGTGGGGGTCCGAGCTTCTATGGCAGTGGTGTTGCCACTCCTGGAGGCTACCAAGCTCGTGGTAAAAATCCGAATTTCGTACCACGTTATCAAAAACCAAACGGCGGCTACCAACCTAATAGCGGCTACCACGGTGGTATGAATTTAGGTTTATTGAGCAAGGAAGAGCGAGCCGAACTTCAGCGTGAAAAAGCTAAAAATCCCGGTCGTAACCTACAAATCCCACTTTGGGAAAATTTACAACCTTTCAAGAAGAATTTCTATGTACCACATCAAAACACATTGAATATGAATGAACAAGCTGTTGCTGAGTTACGCAATGAGTTGGAGATAACAGTTTCGGGAAATGGTATTCCCCATCCAGTATCGACATTCGAGGAATGTTCTCTGCCAGAATATACAATTGAAGAGATGAAGCGCCAGGGCTTCACTAAACCCACTGCTATTCAAGCACAAGGTTGGCCGATTGCTCTTTCTGGTCGTGACTTAGTTGGTATAGCACAGACCGGTTCCGGTAAGACGTTGGCATATATGTTGCCTGCTATGGTACATATTGCAAATCAGCCACCATTACAACGTGGAGAGGGTCCCATAGCATTGGTATTGGCGCCAACACGTGAATTGGCTCAGCAAATACAATCTGTTGTTCGTGATTATGGACACTTGTCTAAACCTGAAATTCGCCATACCTGTATTTTCGGTGGTTCTTCAAAAATACCGCAAGCTCGTGATTTGGAAAGAGGCGTTGAAGTCATTATCGCTACACCAGGCCGATTAATCGATTTCTTAGAGAATCGGAACACAAACTTGCAACGTTGTACCTATTTGGTATTGGACGAAGCTGATCGCATGCTGGACATGGGTTTCGAGCCACAAATTCGTAAAATAATAGAGCAAATTAGACCCGATCGTCAAGTGGTAATGTGGTCCGCAACTTGGCCCAAGGAAGTACAGGCACTGGCCGGTGATTTCTTAAAGGATTATATTTCTATAAACATTGGCTCGATGAACTTATCAGCTAATCACAATATTCGACAAATTGTAGAAATTTGTCAAGAATCTGAGAAGCCACAACGGGTTATCAAGTTGCTAAAAGAAGTAGCACCTACCACTAATAATGCTGCTAACAATAATAACAAGATTATTATATTTGTCGAAACTAAGATAAAGGTAAGAGTATTTATTATTTTCATTATTTTTTTTAGTACTGATATAATATCAGTGCTAAGGGGAGGGGTCACATCGGCTACTAAGCCCCGCTCGCGTATGCTTGTCCGTCAACGTTGTCGTCAAGCTGAGCCAAGGGGAGGACCAGGAAGTGTGCAACTTCCACTGGGTCTGTCCATAGAACAGACGCGTTAGCTGG